AAATGTGGGCCACTCGGATACTCGGCAGCTATGGTCTATACCGTAGTTGACTGTTTAGGAAGATGGTACTGCACCAATATTAAGGGGAACACAGACACAAAAATCAGGGTTTTTCTAGATATCCAGTTTGAATGCATGTCAAATGTGCATGGCTAGCACATTTTGAAATCTTGGCCCATAGATATTACTTTGCCTTCACCTCAGCAAAAAAAACAAGACCTTTGTTTCCGAAGGATAATCACACAAAGGAGAAGCGATTGTTGTGCCCGTTATTTGTTCTGTGAAAAAAATACACCTCAATGTCAATATAATCAGGCCGTGCAATCTTGTTCATCGCTGGATTAAGGCCATGAGACAAGGACCAAGTAGAGGGAAGACCATTGTTCGTGGAGGTTAGTGGAAGGATTGTGTTTACTCACTGGGGCCCAGACGGTGGAAGTAGGTCAAACTGATAATGATTGGGACAATTTCCGAGGGCATTCAGAATTTGGAATCGAATTCAAAGGTTACATGTGTGCTTTTTGTATCATCTTCTTCTTTTTTTGGGAAAAAGATAAAGACAATCTAGTCAGCTTTGAAATGTTCTTGGGATTCACACTTTGTTGGGGAAAAAAGTGGTTTAATAAAATAGTGGAGAGTTTGTCCGATGGCAGTCGGCATTCTCTCAAAACACAGCATGAAAACGAATAAAACTGCTGCAAACTGCTTTCTGACTGGATTGACCTGTTATATAAAACAGACAAATAAAAAAACAACGTAAGACGGCATGACTTGGGATCTTAACAGGATCTTCCTCGGAGGCAAATGACGGTGGTACAAGAAACAAAGATGAGGAGCTCATGTTTGTTTCTTGTCATTTGCCGGGACTTGTATTCGAGTCACCAAACATCGAGTCAGAGTCACTTCTCCCAAGTCCAAGTCCCGGGTTATGCAGGTCGAGTCCGAGTCACGAGTCACAAAGGTTGAGTCTGAGTCACAAGTCACCTGTTGGAAAAAAAATTGAGCCGCACGCACTGCGTATGTAGATTTTAGATAAGTTTCTCTCCACCACACTGACTGTATCGCTGCTCAAGAAAGGATTGTCTTCAAAATAATTTGTTAAAAAAAATTAGTGATTTGTGATAAGTTTGGTTGAGTCTCGAGTCACGCAGATCAAGTCTGAGTCCTCAGGCTCGAGTCCGAGTCCGAGTCATGTGTCATGGTGACTCGAGTCCGAGTCTGTGTCTCAGACTCGAGTCCAAGTCACGAGTCATAAACTCTGCATTTGCCTCTGAAGATGATCTTGTTAAGATTGCAACGCCAGCCGTCTTATAAACTATAAATACAGCATTTTAGAACAAATGTAGAGATGCTGCGTAGCACTGCGTAGAGCATAGAAAAATTAATAGTTAATGTCACCGGATTAGTAGTAGTACCCGAGCTTTTGGACATCCGTTTTTCTCATGGGGTGTTATTCAAACTGTAGGAAACAATTTTTTTTTTTTGAAAAAGCTTCAAAAAGAGGGTGGGGGGGGGGAGGCTGGACACAATGTGATCAGTGGAGGTGCTGTTCAGAGCAGACAAGATTGGACACTATCTAACAATAGGTTGTGGTATTTGTTGTGGCATAATATGCTGACGAAAACATGATTTTGCTGACAGGACTACAGTTTTGCCGACCAAATAAATAAAGAATAATGGAGGGCGGGATTGCAACATCCCGCACAACCTCCCACTAGCTGTGCTCCTTGTTTTTTGGGGGAAAAAACCCTCCATTTTTCTTCACTAATGTTCTACAAAGTTGCAAATTCTGAGTTGTTAGACAAATCCACCTGATTTTTGCCCATTGCCCATAAGTCTGTTCACATCAAGTTTGACAGTTGCGGATATAAGACAAATAGATAAAACACCTGCAGACTTTGCCCTGTAGGGGTGGGCTGTCACTAATCTGACAACTTTGTAACTAGTGCTGGACTTTGGGCAGCGATATCACAAACAAATTTAGACAAGTTTGTTTGCTTTTTTTTGGGGGGGGGAGGTATGTTACGCAAAATTGAGGACAAAGTATAATTTAGGGTTTTTTTTCCTTTTCAAAGTTTGCTGTTTTACAGCATTGTGATTTTCACCAGTGTTTGCCGTTACCTGTCCAAAAAAACCTGCAAGCCACACACAACCAGAAGAAGCCTTTCTTTTGAGGATGATCAAAATGTGTAAAAAAAACCTCCCATGCTGTAAATGTGGATGAAAGGACTGGTCGTGAATGAGGATGAATAATGGTGCTCTTAAACTCCCGTAGGCACATTAAAAGGAAGAATTCGTGATCAAGTGCCCCGGGGCAAATGTGACACTTGAAGACTAGAGACCATTTCTCCCAACACTGGAAAGAAATTGCCTAATATGTATGTGATGTGACTGTCTGTACAACACATTATTAAAGGCACATGTAGCCTACAAAGGATGTGACAGAACATCTACTCGAATTGTTCAAAATCTTAAAGGGAATATACAACATATGTTTTTGCTGTAATTTTCAGAAATGGAAGGATTTGGGTGGTTAGTATTTTATAGCAAATATTGTTACACTGACTTTTTTAAGGTTTGTGTTGAAAAACCAAGAAAACAATCATGTTCTTGTAGTCTGGTTCCTTGACCCCACTCAGGTTGAAACAGAGCAGTTTATAGATGTCGGGGAATTGTAAGGTCAGGGAACCAGTCTATAGGTGGCTTGTACCCGTTCATAGGTGTGTAATCGATTGCATTAATGCAGACCAACTAAATAATGGTAAATTGGGGGCAATATTCATGGTATTAGAAGGAAAAAGCCTGGGTTTTTTTCCAACGTTGGTTGGCCGATAAAAAAATGCCACTTTCTTGAAAATGACAGCACACAAGGTGCCATGATTTTACAGGATGCCTTAGGCTGTCATTTACTGACAGTCCAGTATAAAGATATTTTATATTAATTTGGTAGTTTTGTTTTTGATGTTTGCAAATGTTGTATATTCCCTTTATAATGTGCATAACAACTAACCAGCTGAAGTCTCTGTTCAATGGATACTATACGTTCTGAGAAAACAGGAAAAAAATGTGCATAATTATTTGTGTTTCGTTAGTGTATTCCATTGGTTAAACACGTTAAAAACAATTTGTGCCTGCTGCAACCCTATTTTCAAACCACCTTCAATATTAGTCTTCTTCCAAATGATACCATTTCAGGCGGAATAATTTCACAGGGTTTTTAATACCAGTCCTATGTTCAGTTTGAGCAACGTTTCTCTCAGTAAATCGTTAGGTACTTTTCCGGGCAATTCTGAGCAAATGATCCTATTTGGCTTTATAGGAAAAGGTGGCATCGTAGGAATTACGCCTAAGCGCCAAGGCTACATGTATGTTGAATGAATACTTTGAATAAGTAGGAATCTAAGAGTTTTAATGCTCAGCGGACACATGTATGCAAGGAATATAACCTTTCCTGGCCAAGACTAGTGTACATGTAGGCCATCAGCCTGTGGGTTTGGTCAGTATCAAATCAGGGCATAAATGATTATAGTGCGCATGCGCAAGGTATACGGCCCCTAGAGTGGTAACAAGCATTTTGATGGACATTTTGGAAAAAAAGGGTGATAACACCCAAAAAGCTGCCACCACTGCAATGCTATCACATATTTTCCAACTCTGGATTGTGTATACCTTGCCAAAAATCGCTATGACGATTATTCCCCCCATTTGATACCGGCTGCCAAAATTTTGGACTGAGGCTGATGGCCTAGTGAGCCTGCATTCCTCTTCATATCTCACTGACTGACTCACTGACTCACTGTCACTTGTGACTTAGCCAGGTTGTTGACTGATAAAGCGAGCCGGGCAATGCTGTTGTATAGGATTACCCCGATATGGGCTAAATCTGGCCCATTGTGTACACCAGATGCATGTGAAGATTTTAAATGAATAACCATTTTGAATCAATTGAATAGAATATTGTACGCTCTCGGACAAGCTCAACTTGGCTTGCCTTGTAATTTCTTTTTCTCAAAAAGATGGAGATTTAGAGTCGGGTACGCCTTTTCATCTTTTGTCGGGGTGCTCAGATACTGAGAAATAAAAGCCTAAAAGCACTCAGAGCACATTCTCTTGTTTCTGAAGATTAATTCTGACCACGTTCCTTGTCTATCAGTATACTCCTTGGACTTGGAAAAGCACTCAACTACAACACAGCAGAGGCTTTGTTTTTTCCAAAGTAATTGTCTTTAGAAATTGATATTGGAAGACTGCCATTAGAGATAGTGTGCATGTAATTGTAACATGTTGGATTTTGCATATTGCAAAGGATGGCGAGAATTAATGTAGTGAATAAATGTATTCTACATTGAGTGTTATTCGTTTCCTTTGAATATGTACCATGTCTGTTTTGTAAACGTATACATTTTCGCTGAAATGAAAAAATCAACACTATAGATTCAAATTATATGCTTATATATATTTGTCATGTGAATGGAAAGCTGCAGTAATGCTTTGTTCCATTACTGAGCTCGTCTGAAAGTTCTTGAAAGTTTATAATTATTTCTGTTAACGCTCATTAATTGTTTCCCTCAACTTAAGGGAAGTGTGGCCTAGTGACCAGAGGGTCAGGGATTCGAATCCTACTGCTATCCATTTGTTGTGTCCTTGGGAAAGCTACTAACCTCCACTTGCCTCTCTCCACCCAGAAGTACAAATGGGTACCAGCATTAGCTGGGGAGTAATCTGCGATGGACTGGCATCCCATCCAGGGGGAATAGAAATACTCTCAGTTGTTTCATGCCAAGGAAACCAGAGTTAAACGCCGGCCTGACGGGCCATGTTGGCTTGTGACAAACTTACTTTACTTAAACTCAATGAAATCAATGAACTTTCTAAAATTTATTATCTTTCCTGACTTGAGTGGCAGTTAGTAGTCATCTACATGTACTGACATTTTGTAGCCACACGGCTTTGTATCGATAACATCCAAAGTCTGACTTCATTTTGTCCTGTCCTTTTAGGCACGAGTGCCAGCACATCCAACATGGAGGACGTTGGGGACGAACAAACGGACGAAATGCTTCAAATTCTTGTCAACACGGCCAAGAACACCAGGACGCGTAATACGCCGAGGGAGAGAAAACGTGGTGGACGGACGAACCGCAAATCACGTGAGTAGTCCAACGCCAGTTCCTTGGTGTTTGGTTCTAAAGGCTGTTTCATTCTCATTGGGAGAGCTAAGGGAAATGTGATTTTGAGACAATGGTGCAAGTATTCACAGCGCAAATGCCCAGATGTACTACAGTGAATATCAGTATCAGTGTTTTGTGATTTCAAGTTCACATCACAATTGCAGTTTTATGAGCAAGCCATGAGCATTGTGAGCCATATTGCTCATCTTGCTTGACAGTTTTCCTCCACAATGAAACTTACACTCATCTCATTTGGACATCATGGGACTTTTCAAATTAAGTTACTCAAGAATATTACAGCGGAAAGTATGAAATAATATGAAATGTATGACAGACAGTCAAGTTACTACTAAAGCCTATTTTCTCGAGGGAGAAACGCATTTATTAGCTTTCCTTGCAATTTCTCTCTGCGATTTTCGTTCAGTCTTTGACATGTGCGGAGAATCTACTTCCTTTTAAAGTTAAGCTAGGAGTGATACAAATACCAGGAGAATTATAGCATTTGCAATGCGGTCATTTGTTCTCTTCAAATTGTTTGACATTGCAGCGTGTTTAGGATGGTGGGCAGCCCTGTTACAAATGTATGTCCTGCAGGAATGTTTTACTGCCTTTCATTTAAAGGGTCCATGCGATGAATTTTTCTTAGGAATACATTTTGTGCAACTTTCTCCTCTTAAATGTATGAGCAGGAGGTCGTGGGTTCGAGTCCCACCCGAGTGATTTTTTTCCAATTTTCACTCGGGAGGTAACACACTAAGTATACAGTGTTTAAACGTCGGTGAAGGGCAAAACCTAATTTGATTTATGTCCACTTTCTCTATCAGATGACACTCTCTTGCTATTTCTTCTGTTGTCTCAAAGCTTGTCATGAACTTAGTCTGTCCCCTGTGCATTTGTAATCCAACCCGCTCGCTTTCATCATTTAGACTGTGTAGCTGATGTTCCATGTCTTTAACCCATGATGTGGTCAAAACTACATCGTCTGCAAATCTATAGATCAGTGAGCTGTTTCCTCTAGGTTGGACTTCTCAAATACCTCCTCTAGTGTCAATGTAAAGATCTTTGGTGATAGTGTATCTCCTGGTTTGACACCTCTCTCTATCCTCACTTCTTTTGAGACATCACTATATCTATGTGAATTCTAGCAGTAGCGTCGGTGTAAATGTCCTCCAGGATACAGATGTATCCCTCATTGATTCCCACTGTTCTCAGCGCGTCAAAAATGTCGCTATGCTCAATGGAGTCAAAGACTTTCTGATAGTCGATGAAACAAAGGCAAAGGCAATGAGTTGGTTTACTGCTTGTAGGTGATTTGTTGTTGAAAACCCTCTTATAGAGCCGGCTTGTTCTCTTGGCTGGTTTTTATCCATGATATCATTTAGCCTGTTTTATCTGGATTACCCTGGTGAATATTTTACACGTGTGTGATAATAGGCTGATTGGTCGATAGTTTTGACATCTGTCTTGTCATCTTTTTTTTATGCAGAAGGGTTACTTTGGTCTCTTTCCATCTGATGGGAATTTCTTTTCTTGTAATATCTGGATGAACAGCTTTGTTAACGCTTCACTGTCTCCCCTCCGGCTTTCATGATATCGCTTGTTATTTCGTCAAGTCCTGGTGCCTTGTTTTCCTTCATTTGGCTTATGGCCTCTTCTACTTCTGTTGGTAGTATAGGAGGTAATTCAGTTCCTGTTGTATCTTTTTGTCACCTCGTGACGTTGGGCTTTGTTGAAGTATAAAGTTCTTGGTAAAAGTCAGGGCAGATTCCCAGTATTTCCGATCTACATGTATCTGATGTAGCAGTCCCATCCTTGTTTTTGAGTTAGCTGATTCTTGTTTTCTTGCTGTCTGATTTCATTATGCTTTTTGGGTCCTCTCCCACTTTCCAATATTCCTAGAATGATGTTATGTTTTCTTCTTCTAGTTGTTTGGCATTGTTTTTTCCTGACTGCCTTTACTGCTTCTGTGTACTCTAACTTTTGTGACTGTTTAAATAGCAGGAGGATTAATGAACTTAACTTTCACAAGCTACATGTATGAACTTAACTTACACAAGCTATGCTAGCCTGCTAAGTTTTACCTCATGTGGGAAAACACTGCTCTGATATAGATAACAGATTTTTTTCTGCCTGGTTTTCCCACACAGTACGGCGGACGCTAAAGGGTGGTACTGGTTTGACAGAGGCGGAGAGTCGTGCTCTGGGTCTACACCCATCTTCCAAGACAGTTCACATCTGAAGACCCAGCGGAGAGACTTGACCATCGAGGCCAATTCCCTGCATCGAAAGAAAAACCAAATCGTAAATATAACTTAACAGTACATCCTCTTAAAGGGGTGGATTCAGTACTGTTGATGCTCACTGCCATACCGGGGCAACGCCTGCCCTCAAGAGGGTAGAATTGGTCACTCATAAAGTCTGGAATCCTGACAACGTTAACACCAGGGCTGTTTGGGATGTTGCTGGTCACCAAACTTTCCGCAAGGAAAATATCTACCATCTTAGGAATAGTTTGAAAGGAGAATCACACAGGAACGGGTAGTGCCTTATTAAAACAATATATGCATAAACACAAATTAATAAACATAAATTTCTGCGCAAATCTGTGAATGCCAAAAAAATGACATAAGTATTTTTATTGCCTTCTTTATTGCATTTCTCCCTGTAGAGAATATTTTACTATGTCTACTATACCGGTAGTAACATTTTACTGTAACTTTTTTTTTCCTTTCACCCAGTCAGTGGAAAACGACATTTTACTTAGAATTTTTAAATATATCATATAAAATAAATTGAAAATGGCATTTATGTATCTGCTGTCACGCTAAACAAGCATTTTTAGCCAATAAGGGCTTCACGTGGGATACTTTCAGTTACCGATGAATTGTACCGGAATGCTACATTTAAGTCATTGTTTCCTCAAAATTCTCCTTTTCTGCTTAAAAACATGAATACTTAAAATTTGCGTTGAATAAAAATGAAACATCTGACATGAAAACCTGAACTATCAAGATTCAACAAGCCTGACAAATAATATATTTAAACCAAATTGCAGACAAATTTAATGCCACATACATGTATGCAGTGCCAAAAAGTCACTCAGTTAATGTTTTCAACTGCCCCACATTTTGAGTAATCAATCTTCATACAAAGAATAAATCAAGACTTTACCCAGATGTTGAGATCCAGTTGTCATGATTAACTGGGAACAAACTGGTCATCTGATCAGATCAAAGGAAGATTTGTTTTTTGAGAATGGTCGTTGAAACATAAAAAGGTGTTATTTACTTTTGTGCGTGGGCAGTAACTTAGCAGTGTGGGATTATTTTTTGTCTTATCAAGTTCCATCTCATGAATATGGCCATCATTCTGATCCGTCAGATATGTCTGAATCCAATTCCTATGTTGAGCTTCCCAGTGAGCTACATGTGGCTACTAGCACAAGCTAATTTTAATTACTTTCAAATGAACTTAATTTAACTAAAAACTAATGTAAAATATAAATGTCATTTTTACTGTTCGTGTATATAAGAAACGATTTTTACTGTGTTCGTTATTATCAAATTGTACATGACAATCTCATGCATCCGTATCTTCCCAAATAATTATTTTTTAATGATTTTTAGAGGCGAATCAAACAAGCATTTGTGGTCACATTTTTGTATATTTCTTTTTTAAAGAGTGTTTGTCGTTTTGAATTCACGTTTCGTTTTATCGAAATGTTCTGCCCACAGGCATGTTTTGACAAACAAGTAGCAAATAATCCCTATATGAGAGTATCACTTTCCTGTGGATTCAATTTGTCACAATAATTTTGACAATGTGCCACGGATGAATCTGCCTTTCGTTTCACTTCAAACAATCAACAGAAAGTATCTCTCGGTGTCGGCGATTCAACGCGAGATGTTGACGGCTCGAAAGCCTTTTTAATCGTTCACACAAAAACTCCGAATAGGAACAAAGATCCGCAGACACAAAAAGTACGATAGAGTTACTTGAATGATTGCGAAAGGTATTACAAAAAAAATACACCTCATTGTACTGCATGTGTTGTATGACGTCAATGAGCCAGCTCCTTGTAAGGGATGGATTTTGCATGACATGGATTGTCAGGGGCTGGGTATTATACTCATTGTTGGGGTCTATGCCGTGTGGGTGGGGTGGGTGAATCGATAATCCAGCTAAGCCCCCTCAGGTATTCTGGGTTCAGTTAAGTGCATTCTGCTGTACCGGCCAGTACCAACGAGGAGTTGTGTTTTGCCAGCCAGTGCAATGAGGAGTTTTCTTTCCTGCCGGCCACAATCGAAGTGGTGGGATGACTAAGTTCAGATTTGGCCAATTAAAGGGGGCAGAACGGTCAGACAACTTCGTGTTATTCAACTGGAAGGTCCAAGTATTGTATAAATCTTGGCGCAGTGTAACAACAATATGCTACATGTATCAACTTGATGAATGCCTTTGACAAAGGTTCAGCCAGGATAAAAATACAATGTATTAGTATTTGACACTCTATTTTTTTTTTTCTTTATGAACAAACATAAGAGTACGCACTTATGACGTTATTGTCTGCAAACCTGTTTTGGGTTTGTTTTTTTTAATCCAGTGAATTTACACATTTAGCAAATACATAATTTTTTCAGTGTTCAAAGATATTGTGTATTGAATATATGTCCTTTTCAATAATTCTATTGACTTTCATCTGTGTCTAAAAAATATTCGGCTTTTTTTTTGCATGTTACTTGCACACCCCATGATGTTCAATCACATCTTGCCCTCGATTTAGCTGAAAATAGTGCTTACCACATGTCTGTGCTTAGCAAAAACAACCGGGAACCAGTTACAAACAATATTAACCCATGGCCTTTCAGTTGGTAACCTGTTTTTGCTGAGCAAGGTATTCTGTGCTTAACAGAATTTTGTGTATGGCGGCGCCTAGAAAATTGCCCCACGATCTATGCTTGAGTGTATCGGTGAATTTATTATATTGTTTACTCAGTGATGTTTAGTAAGTTTGGTTTTTCACCCTGACACCCCTGGCCCTGACTAAATCTTGGTTTCCCGTTTACTGCCGTCCCTGGTCACCCCTCTTCAAAACTTGTGATCTGTCTTTGTGAAAAAAAATCTGCCTTTGTAAGAAAAAAAAGTACAGAAAGTGAAGTTCACAGCTGTATGTCTGTGATTTAGTACCAAAATATGTACAGATGTGGAGCAGCATCTGAAAATTTGCTCAAAACCTCAATATTTATCGGCACACTAAAAACCACCAGGGAAAAACTTATTTCTAACCTAAATTGCGTTAAACAGTTTGAAATTTTAAAGACGTGGTTTGAAATTAGTTCTACACAGTATATAGATCAGCAGTTGTGTTATTTATTTGTGCACTTTCATGTCAACGCCCATAAAGCATATAATTGTTTTGTATGTTGGCATACTGGAGCAGGTTCTTCACAATATTGCATAGGAGATGATATTTTTGTTGCTAGATTTTAATATATTCATAAATGAACAGCATTCACTGCTGACGGTGTCTTCAGAGGCGGTCATTTTAAGTGCCTCCCCAATTGTAAATGATTTTGCTGTGATTTTGTTGTAAGTGTATATGTCGGGGAAACTAAATAAGTCACAAAACTTGGCTGAAACTGCACTGCCTTGGTTGAGATGTAGGAACGAAAACTGGCCAAGAACTACATGTATGTTAATTAATATTTGCAGGTATTATTAGTGTCCTGAATATATGTTTTAGATGCTTTATTACTGCGTGATTATTACTGTAACTGAGACTACACCCAACAATTTGGTGGGGTTTTTTTTACCATTTTTAGTTGATTTTTAGGTATTACTTGCATTTTTGGTTTGCCAATATATGTTTTTAAATACCATGTGTAACAATGTAATGGGCCGATTTTTTTATTGAGGCAAATTGCGTTCGGGTTAGATTTGACTCATCTAGGCCTATACAATGCACAAAATGTCAGAAAACCAATAGTTTCACTAGTAGTATACCTACGTTGTAATCATGAGAGTTTAATAGATTTGTCCACAATTTTCGCCCACGGCACTGGTATATCTACTAGGATATCTCATCGACATATAACCTTGGTACATCTGGGAGTAATTAAGTTTTGCCACAAAAAAGTCACAAAATCTCCGCATTTACACTGATTTCTTGTCAACACTGCTTTTTCCCCCTATGTGTTCAGAAAGCATGCAGCCTTGTCGTCCACTCAATGCCACACTCAATCAGTGCGCGTTGTGTCCTAATAACTGTCCCTGACTGACTTTTCCGAGGTGAAATGAATTGTGACAATAGCGCACATCAGAATTGTAAGAATTGCACGTGGCAATGTGATAGTGATGCATGGGGCTTTTAGTCGAAATGAGAAACCTTATTTTGTGTAGAGAGATATGGGTGTCTAGTCTGTGCTCGGACACTGTTATGGAACTGATTTGTAATATCGTTCGGGGTACTGCGTGCTGGTTGTATCAACTGTAACAATGGGTGCATAAGTTGTACGCAAACAAGTGGGAGGAATGTTATTGTGTCTACTTTGGAATTCTAATTCGGATTTACGAACGTGTTTTTCTTCAGCTGCGTGTAGTGCTGATACCATTCTGTGTATTAGTATGCTGCTGAGAAATCGCATTTAAAACGGTGCCTATAATGAATGACAACTGTAACAAAATTCGAGTACAGAAAGAAAATTCAAATACAAATTTACTTTAGATCTGATATTTATACCATTTTTTGGCATTTTATCCAAATTGGAGAACTGGTCACAGCTTTTTAATGTGAATAATTGTACAAGTATTTTTGATACCAACCAATTCACCAATGCTTTCGATTTCAAGTTTTATGAACTGGAATGTGTGTTTTTAATACTGAATTGTAATGTGCCTGTACCTTTTACAGAAAGTGACATGTAATGTATTTTGGAAGACGTGATGTTTATTAATGACTGATTATGCAAATGTAGTGTGCAATTTGTAGTAATTCTCATTCGCAGTACAGGCTATGCATCTTTACTTTAAGCAGAATTCTGAACAAAAGGGCCACACTAAATCTAAGTCATAGTATACAAAATCTGGTGTTAGTTATGTAGAAGCCATTGTATGTTAAGCATTATGTAAATTTTGCGGCATCATGCATCCTCATCCATGCAGGAGAAAGTATTAATTTTCTTGTAATATAATGTATTTTTTTTGTTCAATATGATTGGATACGGGGTTCCGTGCCCGCAGCTTGTACAAGTTGATTGCCTGTATAATGTTTAGATGATGCGTATAGTGTGTGATCCGAATAAGCTTAATTTTGTTAAATTTATTGCACTTGCCATATCTTTATTCTTTTGTGTAATAGCTTTCATCGTTGTGCCGGGAAAAAAAAGTATACGCACGGTATAAGGGAGAGCACATTGAAGTTCGCCAATATGCTTTGCTGTCAAATTAATTTCGCATGGAGTATGAACTGGTCTTTTTGACTAGAGCAAGTCTAATTTTTGCCGGGGAAACCTGATTATTCAGGGGAAAATCTCAGCGTGTTTATTAGACTGTTTCCCGCCCCATCCCTAACAATATTGAGACTGGAAGCTAGCTCCCATTTGAAGCCATTGATTGGATGAGCTCTGCGCGCGCAGCATGATCGTTAATTTTTGCATCACTGTTGAGCTTTGTGCATGGACGATAATTGAACACATGGTTATAACATAACTGACTCTCTTGTCTTACCACAAGAAGTACGCAAAATCACCAGCGTCTCCATGAAGGCAGCTTTCAAGCATTTCGACTGCGTAGGTTGTAAATTCTGAACAGTAATGCCCCTCGCTTTATTGATATTTGCCAGAGACACTTTCGAATTCAGCAAAAAATCGAAACTCATCACCTCCGAAATTGCACATTCGTGGCCTATCGCCATTTTGCAACAGGCTGGTTGCGCGCAGACAATACCGTTGTGATTTTGAATTCAAGAGGCGGGATTCAGACCTATGCACGTCCCGCATATAACTTGCGTACATTAGGAGGTAAGCCTCCCAATGAATTCAGGATTCACTGCAAGCTACCTGTACCTGTCTCCACATTTGAAGTCCGAAGGACAGTGGGGACAAGGAACCACACTTCGTGAATGTCAGGTGAGACAAGAAAGAAATTCTAGGAGCAAAGTGATGAAAAATACACTCTTTAGTCAGTTAGTGGAAACTGTAGAGCTAATAGTGAAAGGCGGCAGTTTCGGACACATACGGTATATCTTTAAAAAAAATCTTTATATATATTCTGAATATAGTAGGGCCTATGTGTCGTGTACATCTATTTTGAGTTTGATGTTAGAGAGGGCGTTATTTATTTGATACATGTGATAAAAGGTGCTTTTTGCAACCCGTTTTTGTAGTTCTGCCATTTTGAACTGGTCCAGGCTGGTATCCAATACCATGTGTGGTGACGGTTTGAAATGTTTCACAAAATATTGTAAAGGAAATACAGAGTTGTGGGGTAAAATAACCTCCGTGATAAATGCATGCGCATGCCCATTAGCACGTGACGGTGTTGACCCAGGGTCATCGATTTTCTTCTAACCAATAAGAGCTCACAGAAATTAGCCGTCACGAGCGCCTGCAGCAGTAGACCGATCATTAGACCCCGCCCACTGCGCGCACGTGGATAACACGTGCGCATCTCCAACGCCAAAGTGCAAGCTGCGCGCGTCGTGCGCGCGTGCACGCAAAATACCAGTAGGCGGGGCTTAATTGATAGCGCGTCGGGTACCTGCGGAGTATATAAGGAACAGGCCATTACTCACACTGTAGATCTTCCCGTGAAAATGATATGAGATAGCGGGGAACCAGCTACAGTTACACCATGATCCAACATTTTTATCAAAATGGCAGAACTCTGAAACAAGTTGTTATGTTCCAGACTGAGCTTCCTGTATTAGTTCTGTTTCTACTTCAGCAAAGTAGTGCTAACAAGGCATGTTTCGCAATAGCTTAACAGTGGTGGCACAGTGTAATAGTGAGTTGATTGACTTTTTTCTTTCATGGTCGATTTAGCATTTACTTTGCAGAAGGTTTATTTGTTGAAATAAAAACCACACCAATTGTTATATATTTAAAAAATAAAATGTCCAGACGTCACTGATCTTTTTTGTGGAAAAGGTGTTTGTATTGTACCTAGACGATATAAAGATTTATAGCTTAATACCATGGCTGTTATTTCTGTTTTCGAAAACGAAAAGGTCTAGATGTTATATCATAAAAAGGATTTACGTGATATACAGTGAGACCTTTTTCAGTTTTGGTGGTACCTTATATGATTTTGCACGTAACGTTGATCACTATGCATGGATGCCAAAGAGACACGGGTCACTCACGGTACCCTTGATCAAGATTTTACCTAAGGATCTTTTCAAGTCGGATATTAGGAAAATACCAATATTTTATTTGTTCGGAAAATACATTTTTGTCTTAAATAGGGGCCTACAACCCGAGACCCTTGCCCTATAAATTCAGTCAGCCCCTAGCCACACCTAGCCTCCAAACTGCTCAACCGATTAAAGGAAGTTGTTTACTACCAAACCACTTTTTCATGAGACCAACCGATTTGCCTTTACCGAACGTTTGTGACCGAAAAAAAAACTTCACCGCAATCGATACTTCACGACGGAGAAAATAATTAGTGGCTCTCCCTATTCACCTACCATTTTGTACAAAAGTATATGCAATCGCGGTGTACAGAAAAGCGGTCATGACCATACATATTTATTTGATCGAAGTCGGCCTTCCCTAGAATTCGATGGCCCTTTCGTTTTATGAGTCGAGCCCTTTTAAGTCATTGGTTCAATATTACCTTGGCTTCGCGTCTGTGTATTATTATTATTTTGTCTGGCACTGACACAAACTCTGAGCTTCTGTGTACACTGAATACAGCGTATACAGCTATGAACATTTAGTGGCGGTTCCCCGTGAAAGGAGGCATCTATGTCAATATTTTCTTTTTGACAAAGGTCTTCGGAGGAAAGAGGATGAACCATAAGGAAGATCTTTTGAGACGGGTAGAACTTCCCTATTGCTTTGATTATCTTTCTCTCAAACTTTATACGTTCCGAATCCGTTCTTATTATGGAAGGGAAAAAAACACTTAGAATTGAGAAGTTAGGCTTTGGGGACATAAATAGGAAGACAAAAATGTATAACAAAGCAATCGACAACTGTTAGTACAGTGTACTATGATTTTTGCCAGCCTTCAGTCCCCTTTCTTTATATCTATCTCACTACAATGTATAGTACAGCAGATGATAGTATTGTGCCTTTGATGACACAAGCATGGAATTTGGCGCACAGTCAGAGTATGTCATGAGAAAGATATTTGGCTCTAGGGCCATTGCAGATTTGTCATTTGAATAGATGTAGGTACTAGGTAGAATAACAAGCAAATTATGTATGCAAATTATGTTCGGGACGTGTATAGGTCTCAATCTCGCCTCCTCAATTTAAAATCGCAACGGGTAATGTTTGCGCGCAACTAGCCTATTGCAACATGGCAATAGGCCACGAATGTGCAATTTCGGAGGTGATGAGCTTCGATTTTTTGCTGAATTCGAAAGTGTCTCTGGCAAATATCAATAAAGAGAGGGAAATTACTGTTCAGTATTTAAAATCTATGTAGTTGAAATGCTTGAAAGTTGTCTTCATGGAGACACTGCATGGAGATAAGTTCACAGAAAGTGCAGTTGCGTTTGTTAAAGCATATGGTTAAAGCCATGTTGGATCATTTGCAATTACCCGTAAAAGCACCTACCAATTTAACGAGGAAAAGCTTACTCAAAGTGAAAATAGGACTGGTACCAAATTATTCCGCCTTAAATGGAATCGGTTGGAAGAAAACAAACATTAAAGGTGGTTTTAGAATAGAGTGCCCTCGGGCACGCTTCTATTCCGTCTTTGTACCTTTAACAGCTGCCTTCATCCTGGTGTACTTTGATATCGAAATATACATATATACAGACGCATATCACAAGGGAGATGTCACCTATATGTTTTTCCTTTGACACATTCCCTTGATAAATGCTGAATCATCATAACAGCGTAGATATATCTTTTATCTGCACTCGCATCTTGACTCTAATGCATGTGTCGGTTTTGAACATGGCTTGCAACAGGCGCGCTACCATATTGTCTTCCCGTCCCCTGCCACACCATACCTAGCTTCATTATCCTATCTTGCTGGATCAATGCAAAGTCAGAAGTCACCAAGGCGAAAAAAATCACCGCAGCCGTGAAGGCTGTAATATCGGCCAATCAATACCTGGGGATACAGTACAAAATAATGACAAGCGTAGCTAGGTCTTCCGAGACTGAAAATACTGGAATTTCTGGTGAGATTATTTTTTTATACATAAAAATATCATGTCTGTTTTTTTAAACTCAACTTTGATAAGCCCTGTTCACTGAAATCGTTTGTACACGCAGTTTTTACCATAGAGAAAGGACACATCTCTCTGCATCACTAACTGTTCACGTTGCGCGTGACGCGTGGTTGAGGTGACGTCACGATACGTCACGACAGTCCTGCACCAATCACAACTCACCATCGACGCGTTCGTATCCCTTATTACCAGCATGGTTTGATCTTAACTCTGACTCTCCTTTCGCAGCTTTCCGGTGGAAGTTGGAGGTGTGCATGATCAAGTCTCACCTACAGTTCAGACCTGGTGAGGTAGTGGTCGTAGGAAAGTTAGCGTAGTTGACCAAAGCCGCGAATCGAGCACGGAGAGGCAAGGGGAACGACTGCAGCTGAGGCCAAGCACCGCTGGGCAAGAGCGTCCAACCCAATCGATCGTGTGCCGGGATTAAACCGTGTCCAACAACTCGGCTACAGCCTAGTGTTTCAGTACAGCCCTGAGCGACTCTGCGCGGCTGAGCTGAAAAAATTACACCGTGAATCCTGTGTGCTGTGCATGGTTCATTCAGCTCCACCGAGCAGAAAACCTTGAAACGGTGATGCCTGCTCCACCGGCAAATTGAAGGTAAGAAAGGAGCTAATTTTCCCATTCGATGCCGTCAACAACATTTTTCAGTTCTGATTTGGTTTCCCCAGCACAATGAACAATATGTATATTAAGGATAGATGTAGATGCGTTTAACATGGGCCCAGCCTTTGCTTGTTTTATGTCTTCACAAGCTCACAATAAAATGAAATGTATAATTTGGATTTCAAGATAATTATTTATCAAAGATGTAGCAACAAGCCTATTTAGACAAGGCACCTTGTCACAACAAATTAACGTGTTGGTAGTCAAGTGATGCAGTTTTGTATTGCTCGTACTCGTACTCGAGAACATTGTTTGGTAATCGTACTCTAACTCGTGCTCATGAGAATGTACTCTAACTCGTACTCTTGCAGAATTTATGTTCTCCCTCAAGAATCTTTAAAATATACATATATATTACAAAGCGGTACATGCAGCAAAAGAACCAGATTTCTACTGTTTGGAAGTATTTTGTGCGGTATTTGTTTAATGCCTAGTTTGATAGCAAAAAGCTCTTGAAAACACGTGTACCCATACTCGTGGAAAGTACTCGTACTTGTACACGTACTCGACTCGTGACTCGTACTCGAGTACGATTTTTTGGTACTCTTACCCATACTCGTGAGAATGCCTGGTATTCGTGCTCGTACTCGTGACAACGTACTAGTACTCCTACTGGTACTCATGACAAAGTAGACGTATCGTAGTCGACTCGTACTCGTACTCGTATTCATATAAATGCACTCGATTACAACACGGGAGGGTCGCGATGATTATGTGTCTATTGCATATGCGCGGAAGATTACTATCAAACTGGAGAGATATAACTAAGCGCATATCAGTGTCTGCGATTTTCACACAAGTTTATTCCAAATTGTCACGGTTACAACGCTCCGTAATTTGAGGCATTGAAGTTCTCTTCTTCGAGGTATCGATGGTTCACTGTGACAATCGAGATTTGTGTAAGACGTCTTTGGGCTATTAGTATCCAAGGCAACCAATAAAGCATCCCAATTCCAAAGACAAAAATGTACGACACGAGCTTGGTTATATCGTCTTACGTTGATCGTAAGTATTGCCTTTCTTCCTGAGAGAAAACATGATCTGTTTTGCCAATTTCGTCTGTTTCAGCACGATACACGATCTATGGGCTGTACAGTATTCGGTGCATTTGTTATAAGTGGTGCTGTATAGAATTCGTTTTCTGCGTTAGGGAGATTTGTTGGAAATTTAACAAGTAATTTTGTTACAGACCGAATGAAGTGTGGGCCGCTAAAAGCAAATTCTTTTGGCTAAATTACCGGTTTTGTTTCGGCAGGCTGAAAATATGATTAGAAAAATGAGTGTTGGATCGATTGATTTCATTAGTGTATAATGTCAGAATTGTGAGTTGGAACATCTAGAAAGCTTCGAGGATTTGCCAGAATGATATACCGTTCATTCACTCAGTCATCTTCACTTTTCTCTTCTACCTAACTGATATTTACGACCCATGCTTCTCTTTCCCCTTGGGACTGTTTAAGTGACTGCAAAGATGTGTTCAAAGATAATGTTTCTCGTGTCAGAGACATCATTCCCTACAAATGTCAGTCACCCGAATATCATGCAAGCGAACTTTTTTTTAAATGTAGACATAAAAGTCTACAGGTCAATAAATGAGAAAACCTGTCTTTACTTTCTTAGAATGACATCTTGCTGCAAGAGTAAACGGGGAAAAAATATGCACGCGGCAACTTTGGAGAGACTTGACCAGTAGATATCGTGGGTCATGTGCAACAGGTGGCCGTGACTGGCGGATCGCATCCGGAATAACTTGTGTTCTTTCTGACTAGTCTTTCCTAATGGAATTCTCGGTTCTTTTTGTTCCAGCCTCTGTCTGACTAGAGTAAACCTGTGCGCATTATAGGGTTTCTTTCTTTGTCCATAAAATGGAGTCTTCTTCTTCAACCATCGACAAATAAGTTGCAAATCGTAACATTCGTGTGGGATACAAACTTATTCATCACTGTACTGTCAGCAAAGTTAGAAATTGGTGTGGCAGTCAATCAAACGTTTCGTTTCATTGCCGTATTGGAATTATCTATGGAAATGCACATACTGATTTAGGGCTGGCTGGGATGTTATGGGTTCGATTCGATAAACATCCTCGGGCTAAAAGACATTACTGCATTGTCCGGGTAAATAAGTCAGTTTTGGCTTAACACGATGTTTTAGATTAGTAGCCTATGTTTACTTGTACTGAGGCAGATAAGCCATGAAGTCAGGTGATTTTTGCTTTTCCGCCATCATATATGACTCCAGTCAAACTCGATCGATTCTCAAGTTAAAACCAAAAGAATTATTCACCATTTTCCCCTCCGTTTCCCCCTGGGTCCAATGAGTAAATCAAAACAGATGGCTCCCGTCCCATCGACTGCGACAGCGAGAGGGCTGTGTGATGATGGTGGGAGCATATGCTCTTTTCCACCCGTCCATAGTTTGCAGCTCACCCGCTATATTGGCTTCATCGGTCGGGAGCTCTCGTGGGACGTTCTTCTCTCGGTAAATAACGGACCCAGATCTGGTGTTTTTATCCCTGAGAGACCCCCAGGCATTGCCGAATCTTATGCCCGCGAGCACAGCGCTGTGTCACATTTGAAGAGGTGAAAGGGGAACAAAAAGACCCCAAGGAAGCTAGTCGAGGGCACTTGGTTGTCCACTCTAAGTCGCAGAAAGGTACACACGAGATAAGATGCATCAAGATTCGGTGGAATTGCCTCCTTCAAGTTTCGATCGAGCTTGCAGATTCTTTTGGACGCTTCTTCTGCGTTTCGGTCTTCCAGGTGCCCTAAAACCGCATTCGAAAAAAAATACCTCTTTGACCGCACTTCGCCATCACACTTTTTTGTAAACACTACCATCCTTTTCTAGGTCATATATGTCATTGGAAAAATACATCTGAAACACTGAAAACAAAGGAATCCCGTCTCGACTATGATTTAAAGGCTGCATAGGATCATTTGCATTTATCACAAATTAAAGTAACCTACCTAATTATAATCAAAAAGCTTACTTGGATTGCACTGGCACTAAAAAGATTTTACTGGCACTAAACACCCCGTGAACTTATTCCGGACGGAACCAGAACCTAATTTTCGGGGGGGGGGGGACAATTAGAGGGCTCGAGTATTTTGTTTTTCAAGAAGGGGAGGGGATTAATTATAAGTATATATATAGTGTCGTGCGCTATTTCTACATTGTAAAGTTAAAACTAAAATGTATGTGTAGCTTATGGCTTGCGAGGGGGATATGCAAGGTTTTCATTTATTTCCTGAATATTTAAGACAAAAAGGTGTCTTCCTAGTCTATGGAACATTTATGCGAGTAGATTCGGCGATTAATTATGCAAAAGAGAGCTGCGTTTTGACCCGAAGATTCTGACCATTCAGCGGGCGCCTTCTAGATCTGTCGGGTCTTCCGTAACCCGTTGTTGCATTACAAAAACATGTCAGCCAAATTGACCAATCAATAGCTTGGTCCACATTTCTGATGGAAATGACGTCACAATATCAGAAATCAAGAAACGTAGGTGTTTTCCCACGATCAGTCAATTGACTGATTTTTGGAAATAAGGAGTGCTATATATCGACGAAATCGTGTTTCCTGATCAAAAGGTTGTACATGATTGTTCACTGTTTCCTCGAAAAGCGTAATTTCCACTGAGCTGAAACTTCAACAGGTTGGGTTTCAACATTCTTCTGTGCATTTTGAGTGGTTGTATTATTGAAAACGAACACAATTCTTGAAAAGCAAATGATTTCCATATGCCTTGAAATGGCATTGTACAATACATCTTTAATATGGTCGTCTGTTTGTGTCTGTATAACGTAGTTGCAATGTCCCTTTTGCCGTGACGTGACAAGCCACTCAACCAATGGAGTATTGCCATATGACGCTTTGTATGCATCGAAATGGAAACGGTTGGGTCGAAAGAGAGATTGCACTTACTTGCAAGCTTTAGTCACTTGAATTGTTGATTAAGTAATAGCTTCACATACTGGGTAACGCTGCGAAAGAGTCTGTCTGCTTGTACAGCCTCGCTGTCGATTCAATATGGCGGTTACATGCAAAGAGCAAATACATAGTTCTAGTCAATGAACAACAAGTTTACTTCTTCAATTGGTTTTAATGTATTGCTGTATACAACTTCAAGGTTTTAAATTAAAGTCTACATTTTGTGTACCCTATAAAACTCTCAATACAACCACTTTCTTCATCATCATTGCCAGCTGCGTTGAATTGAACCAGGTTAGATCAATGTTATCCTTAATAAGGTAAACGTTCGGGTTTATTGAACTGGAAAGTGTGTACACACATGCGGGTGATTCTTTGTAGGATAAGCCACGCATCCACATCCAATAACCACGCAATAACGGCTCTTTTGGCGTTTGCTGGTACAATTTAATAAAATACAAATGCCGTTGTGCATTCAGAGTGCTTCGATGTGCCAAATGTCAGAAGCCAGGAGATGAAAGATACAGATTTACAAATCCTCGGTGCGATATACATGTACTACTCCTTCCTCCGCGATATTATGCATTGACCTGTTTTCTCTTATCTTCTTCATTTCACTTTGGGTTATATTAATTTTGTGGGGCGAAAAAAAGACGACGAAGCGCGTTCTAAAGTCGATTTTTTTTTCTTCTACGGTGATGAGAAAACTGTACCGCATGAACTACTTGGCGTGGCCCGTGCAATTGTGCGTGTTTCATGTGTTTAAAATTTGAACAAAGAACTGTTTAAATATTAATTGATATTGAAAATAGCTATAAATATAGCTATAAAACAAACATAAGCCATTACAAAGACATTTGGCATTTCAGTTCTGGTTTTAATGTTGGTATAAACTACGGCACTAAAGTAGTGCACACGAACCGTTTCGCAACCGCTTCTTCCGTGAATGACTTTGTTTTATTGGCTTTCCATTTCGTGCAGATGCTTATAACATCCCCATCGTG